TGTATTCATTAAGACTTCTAATTTAATTACGATAGGTGAAAATATATTGAATAAATACTACTTTGATAGCTAGAGAGACTAGTCTTAACTGCTACAATTATTTTTGCTTAACGGCTTAAGAAAAACAAATTTTAAAAAAGATAATGGTAATATTATACTATAAGAAAACAAATAACATATAAAAACGTACAGAAAGTAAATTAAAAAATCTCAAATTCTTGGATGGGTTTTAAAACTGATAACAACCGTAATTTAAGCCATTGATTGCTCTAAATTAACATCTTCATTGACATGGTAGTAGTCAAGCAATATACGTGCTAGATTTGTAGACGTAAATCATTCACTCTATAATATTTTACAATGTACTTATATTCCATTTTGCTGGTAAAAAGTTTGTAGATATTTTAGAAAAAATACTTATATTCATGCTATTTTTTTTTAAAAACGTGATAAAAGCTTTATGGTATTACAAAAACGTTACCTCGTCATTTTTGCAAATATGATCCATAATAATGTCATTTTAAAAATAAATAAAATGAATAGTATTTACATGTATTAATATAGACAGATATACGTATATACACGAACATGTAAAGGTGTCTTAGTCGAAGCAGGGAGAGAATTAAATGTAGATTAATGTTAATCACAGGATTACCAAATTTTCAAAGAAATTTATACTGTACAAAATAAAAAAATGGCTACGTCAAAGTTAATTGCTACAATATCACGTAGCTTCACAACAAAAGCAAGCTATTAATATTGCAGTGTGAGTTTAATTTCCCATGTGAAGTTATTTAATGAATTCTTTTTCCCGAATAATTTTTTTGTAAAAACAAAATTATATTTTCTTATTTGAAAATTAACACAATAAACAATAAATTTCCGCCAAAAAAAAAACCAATAAATTTAACCAAAAGAAAACCAATAGATAATGAAGAAATAATAACACGGAAGTAATATCTTCCGAACTACTAGTATATTAAAAGCTAGCAACCTTACAATTAATTTCATTTAATTGAAACTATGACCAATCTTGGCTGGATTTACAATTAATGTTAAGCGATAAGTATGAATAAATAACCAATATTATGATTTGGTATGTTCATGTTACAATATCTATAGAAATGCATGAAATTATAATGTGAAAAAATAAATAAGAAGGTATAGACTTCCTCCGTTCCATGAAGATTGATGTTTTGGCTTTTTCACACTAATTAATAAACAATTAGTTGTAAGTTATTAATGCATTACTTTTTAATATTAACTATTTTTCAATACATATTAACCAATAGTAATTCAGAATTTAAATAATGTTTCTTGAATCAATTAAAGTCTCCTAGACAAGTGACTACTTGTAAAACGGTATATGTTCAAATTGAATTTATACACTTCTCGGTTATTATGGTAAACCGAATTCATCGGAACATGATCCAAACCGACGTTGACATAAATCATTTTTTAAACAAAATAGATAGTTGTCGATCAAAAGTTTATTAATGATTTTATACCAAAAAATCTGAAGTTCGAATTCCAGAAATTGTGATTTATTATTATATATGCAGCTTAATTGAGACAAACTTACATGAGATTTTCAACGTGAGACAAGATAGAA